GGTGAAGATAAGTGAAAAAACGGAGAATTGGTTAATATCAGCGCACACTTTCAGGTTGCACTAGTACTATTGGCAGGAGTTGCTGGCTTCTCTAGCGCATGTCTTGGTGGATGCTGCTGCGGTGGAGGTGGCGGTGGCTGCGGAGCGCCATCTTCTCCAGCCAAGTCAAAGTAAGCTGCACATTTATTTTTCACAGTTAAAGTTAAAACCTCTTCTGTGGAAGTATTCAGAGGTTAACCGAGTAATAACACGCTGCAAACAGCATATACTTGCTAGCAGCATTGCGACTTTTCTTTCATTCGAAGATTTTTAGATTGTCGTAGCATACAAACAGCCTGAGAATAAAATTCAAAATAGTTGTGTATTCCCGACATATGTCAGCTACAATTTACCATCGAAAAGAATCAGAGGAATGAGTAGAGTTCGAGATCGAACGGGCATTATCGAAATCAGTGTTATGCGAGTTCGTCTAAGATAGACCTGTAACTTCCATTAACTTATCATTATTGCTTAATTTTACTTGAAAGCATTTGCCAAGACTTTCATATATGTCATTGCAGTTTAGTCATGTAAAATTCTGCATTACCTCTTCTCACTCTTCTAGCAACTGCGATTTTAGTTCTTTGTTATTTTGCAACTTTCTACATAGGCGATTCAAAGCTTAGTTTCAAAACGAAGATTAGTATCGAACATTTCTTTATTCAGAAAAATTTTTTAGATCAGTTTATACTCTTTCCTTTACACATTTCATTTTGTTTTCATTTTGTTTTGACTTAGTTTCATTCTTAATACCATAACCACTATGCGTCGAGGTCCGATTGCGACGCTCCGAATGAATGAATATGACTTCGTGGACCGAAACATCCTTCTTCAGTTACTTAAAACTTGGTTTTTTCCTTACATTTCTTATGTCTTTTCGCATATTTTAGCCATTTTATAATGTTTCTAAGGTATGAATCATTACTGTTCTTACTGTTGTTACTATCAATATTATTGCTTTATTGACACGATGTTACTATATTATTATTCTACCCCGATATCATAGTTTATTACTTTTATTAGTTTCAACCATACTTATTACTTTAATTATTATTTCCTCATTATTCTTGTTAACGAATGGAGTTTTATACATTGTTTTCCTTTTTTTCACATTTGCAAATTCGAACAGGGTTTTTATGATATCGTGAGCCAGCCAGGCCAGAAACTTAACTACCTGACGCTTTAGAAGTAAAAGCTTGCGCATCTGCAGCTTTCTTCTCTGACATCGCAAAGTTGCACTTTGCAACCCCTAGTACATTTATTCCTATGCATGCACAGTTGGCAGAAAAAACGAATGACTTGCTTCGTGCGGCGGTAAAATCTAAATCAAATGACTTAAAAACTTTAAGAGACAAAAATTACTTGAATGAATGCTAAATTCAAGGAGCAGATATCAATTTGTGACAGTGGACAATCGGCTGATAAAAAAATGTTGTTTTGTCCAGCCAATTTGTTAAAAAAACAGTGTAGATTCTGCCTACACATCCATCTAACACATTGTAGGATTAAAAAAACTAAAATGAGAGAGGCTGGTTTCTCCTGGATAACTGTTTCGGAAGTTGGTAAATTGCGCGATTTCACTTCTTAGCGCTGAAGAGACTTTTCAAATATTTCCTGGTTTCAATCGTCCTGGATTTATTGCTTTGTAACTTCTAGCGCAATTTCATCTTTTTTTTGCAGGTACGCGGCGCCAAAAGGAGGATACGCGCTACCACCTCCGCCTCCACCACCACCTCCGATTTCTTATGGTGCAGGTGGTTATGGCATAGGAGGTCCGGCTCCAGTCGCTGCACCAGCTTATGGATTACTGGGTGGTGGTGGACCTGGTGGCGGTGGCTATGGAGGCGGTGGCTATGCGGGTGGTGGTACTGGCGCAGGTAGCTATGGCGGTGGCGCTGGTGGTGCTGGCCCAGGTGGCTATGGTGCTGGAGGTAGCTACACTGGATGAGCAGATAAAGCTGGCCGAAAAGACAAAAATCTTTGTTGAAATTTATCGTTAAACGCTTGCGTCAGCACAGCCAAGGATGGATGAATTGCCACCTATATCTGGCAAAAGGCGGCTGACGAATTTTTCTTTTCAAAAAGTCGGAAGCATTTTAGTATTCGTGTTTTCATTTTGTTATTCATTTTATTATTCATTATTATTTTTATTAGTATGTATAATTGTTGGATTGTTGCCGCAATCAGGCAGCATTGTTGTCATGCAATAGGTCGAAGGTTCGACTTTGCCGGTGGGACAACCAGTCACCTTACAATTTGGTGCCAACATACGCCGTGGAGTTAAACCCGTCGTCAGTTTGTTTGTAAGCAACCCCGGAAGATGGAGCCGATTGTCAGCCTTGACAGCGAGTGATCACTCACTGTTGGCGTTTACTACATTCGGGTTAATTCCCGAGTGCTTTTGTTTTTCACTGAGTGCGAAATACAAAGGAGGTTTTGACTATGAATTATTGAGTTGCTAAATGGTGATAAAAAGGATGGTTCTCTTGTAATATCTTAAAGAACCGCAGTACCATCGTTTCTTAGGTCAAAGTAACGTTTGAATGACAAAATTCGTCGGTGTTTTCTCGATTTGCTGCGAGTCTGGAAAGCGACAGTGAAACGAGGAGTCAGAGTGAATTATGAAGGTCAATGGGAATAAATGAAAAAAAACTCGTTCCGTTTATTTTAAACTTACCGTCTCGATCAAGGTTTTGTAGATCGGAATACGGGGCAAAAAAGAAGTGACAGCTGAGTGTATGAGCTTCTTTCTGTATGTAAAAATTCTGTTGGGAAAATTTCTTTTTCCCTAGCTGTGCGCCCTCCGCCTACCTAGTGCTCCCCAACGTGAATAATTAATTGTTGATTGGATTTTTGATATTCCAACAGTGCAATAACCTTGCTAGTGCGCTGGAAATTTTGCATGAGCCAAAGTACAAGATTCAGTGCTATAGTGATCACTGTGTTGTTTTAGTTTTGCTAACGCGACGTATATACTTTTACACGTTCTTGCTCGGCAACGCTATAGCGTTGCAATAATGAGCAAAAACACATATTGCCGAGAGAATTGCGATGTGCATTTATGTATATGTGTGTGTACGCGCGTATATATATATATATATATATATATATATATATATATATAT